CTTTTCACCTCTGATAATTTCCCTTTTAACAATGATACAATTCCAGCAAGTGCCCTTTTTGTTGGTGCTGCCCCCCGCTTTGGAAGTCGCTCCGCCGTCCCTGGACGTCATATTGCTCAAGTTGTCGAGGTGATGCACCCTCTCCACACTGCGCGCATCCATTGTCTTAGCCCATTGTCTTAGTGCATTGTGACGTCATATTGCTCAAGTTGTCGAGGTGATGCATCCTCTCAACACTGCGCGCATCGATTGTCTTAGCCCATTGTCTTAGTGCATTGTGACGTCGCAGCTTCGGTACTGAGCATGTGCAGAAACCGTAACCATGGTGAATAATCCATGGACTAAGTTAGGCCAGGTTTAAACCATGGATCAGTTAGGCCACCTTTCGAGAAATGAAAATGACTTAGGTCAGCGGCCTAAGTTAAGCCTGGCCTAACTAAACCACGGTTTAACTTAGGCCAGGTTTAACTTAGGCCGCTTTCGAGAATACCAACCTAAGGGCTTTCTTAGGCCATGACATGGCAAGTACAACTTGGTGCAAGCACATTTGTGACATTGTACTGCAAGAATGTGTATATTTGTTCTTGACTTTAAAAGAGATACCGGTAGTCATTCTGTAAATCAATGATTACTGAGTGGGGAGGGGGTGCCTAGTCACTGCCTACATGAAAGGCGCCTTAAGTTTATTTCTTAAAGTTAGAATATGATTGACACTATAACTAAGACCAATTACCAATGGAGTAGATCTTTGATATTTTAATGAGGTCTAAACCTTTTTATTTTTGTTTCAGGATGATGTTCTTCTTCAGTAGAATAAATGAAGGTAAATTCCCTGATAATTGAGACAAATTCAGAGAGAGGAAGGAGAACGACTGAGCTGCTGAATTTCTGACAGGTAGGCTGTACGAATAAGTTGTTGTTTGTATGCCCAGGTACTTCAAGGATGGCATTTGTTCATTCACATTTTTCCATCAATACTTTTATGTAATTGATTATGCACTCCACTTTTACCACAATATGCATGCAAGTCCACTTTGGTCGCAATGTACATGCAAGACCTTTTTAATGTTTAACAGAAATAGGTTTCAATGTGCTTCCTTTCATTCTTATCTTTTTTCATTCAACAGACATACTTGCAAGGACTATGAAGTTCTACTTAGCCTCTTCAATGAACCAGACTCCATATGCTGTAACTGTGAATGCATGGGGATCAAAACCTTTGTATTATAATCCTCATAACATGAAGCTATGGTAACAAACAAGCAACCATTGATAAAAAGCCTGATATGTCATTGTTGTGTGTGTGAACCACAAAGCAACCATCACTCATAAGGATGTTTTTATGTACATCAGATGTTCATTGTTTCACTGGAAAAATTGTGATTTTTAATCATTTAAGAAATCATGTTTTATAATGTGTTTTATAATGTAGTGCAAGTCATGATATAACAGATTCCCTGCAAAAGAAACACGTCTCAAAAGTAGACTATGCTTTGTTTAAAAAAATGGGAAATATTAATGTAACATTAAAAAAATACATAACATTTAATTCTAATAGTTTCAAGTAGCAGATTATGAGGCTATTGGAGCTTAATATTTTACCTTCAATCTTATAATCGTATTCATCGTGAATTACAATATTTTCTGTTTTAAGAACAATAAATAAATTGAACATACTTGTTGATATGTTATATACAATATTCCTTTCATATCTTTTGATTTTAAGTGTGCATACTGTTGGGTTCATTGAATTATAGATGGAAATGTCTTGAAATAGAACAGTGAGAGAACAGAGAGGGAGAGAGAGAGAGAGATAGAGTAAAAGAGAAAGGGAACCAAATGAGAAAGAACAATGTAATGGTGAGAGAAATAAACAATGATGTGAGATAGTGTGTGTGTGTGTGTGTGTGTGTGTGTGTGTGTGAGAGAGAGAAAGAGAGAGATGGAGAAAGGAAGAAAAAGGTTGGGGGGGGGTACAGTGCCCCCTTTTTTCAAATTTCCCTTTTTATGTAGGAAAGTGCCCTTTTAACTTTGTAAGAAGTGCCCCTTCCCCTTTTCACCTCTGATAAGTGCCCCTTTAATTTTGACACGCGCCCCTTTTCCTTTGACAAGTTTCCATTTTCCTTTGCAATAAGTGCCCCTTTTCACTTTTGAGAAGTGCCCCTTCACCTCTGATAATTGCCCTATTTAAATCTGAGAGGTGCCCCTATTAACAAAATATCGGTGCCCCTTTTCTTTCAACAAATGCACAATTATTTCCTTTATTATAAGTGCCTCTTTTTTATTCTTATAAGTGCCCCTTTTAAAATATGTTCAATGCCCCTTTACAGGTGCGATATGTGACACTTTTCACCTCTGATAATTTCCCTTTTAACAATGATACAATTCCAGCAAGTGCCCTTTTTGTTGGTGCTGTCCCCCGCTTTGGAAGTCGCTCCGCCGCCCCTGGACGTCGTATTGCTCAAGTTGTCGAGGTGATGCATCCTCTCCACACTGCGCGCATCCATTATCTTAGCCCATTGTCTTAGTGCATTGTGACGTCGCAGCTTCGGTACTGAGCATGTGCAGAAACTGTAACCATGGTGAATAATCCATGGACTAAGTTAGGCCAGGTTTAAACCATGGATCAGTTAGGCCACCTTTCGAGAAATGAAAATGACTTAGGTCAGCGGCCTAAGTTAAACCTGGCCTAACTAAACCACGGTTTAACTTAGGCCAGGTTTAACTTAGGCCGCTTTCGAGAATACCACCCTAAAGAGAAAAGGGGAAAGAGAGAGAAACTGAGAAAGGACAGGAGAATATAAGATATAGATTAAATGACACATTCCCAACCCCTATTTCTAATCGATGGTCGTTTTTCATTCCTACTCCCTCCACTATTCCAGACTCGGGCCACTCAACGCCTCCGTCCATTGGCATTTACCGTTCTTGTCGTAGAAGGTGTTGCCAATGTTGTACTTGTTATGGCAAAGCATAGAGCTCCGTTCATGTCGCACTCGCACGTACAGTGATTGTCGACAAGCGTCATTCTTAGAAGCATCTATGAATATATTTTAAAAAATACTAATAATGATTTGTTTTTAAAAAGGGGGGCCTAATATTATATCGGCGAAGTATAAATTGCCAATCCAGATGAAGTCAAATTGAGGGTCAAGAGTTGGACAGAAGATGTAGACAAAGAAGAAGAAGAAAAAGAAGAAGAGAAGAAAAAAGATAAAAGAAGGAAATAAACGAAATTCAAATTAAATCAAGATAAATTCTATCAAAATAAATATTTACTGATTTATCTTTTCTTTTTTTTTTTTAGGGGGTAAAAAGGTTTACTTTGGGCTTACTTGAAAAATGGGCAGGAAAGACCCCTCTTCCTCTTCCTAAATACTACGCACTAATTTTGACGAGTGTCATGCGATCATAATTATCTATAGTTTTATTGTTTTTAAATGATTTGCCTATGTTCTGTTGAGATTTCTGTTCAGATTCAGTATTCCTCAATAATGTTTTGAGTTCTCTCGTTTTTTTATATTAATTTTTTTGATTTTTTTTTTTTTTATGATCATTCTTTTTCAGGATTCAGGATTTCAAAAAATTTCAGAAATTTGCACAACAAATCTCACCACACGTTATTGAGCTCGAGTCAGACGACCATATCCATCGATATTTGCAGGTGTATGTGTAGGTAGGTGAGTAAAAATATTATAACTGCAGACTCTGCTTTTGATTAAGTCGTAGCATTCATTATGTATTTGGTAGCACCTAAAATGATTCAGTCCACCAAAAAACGCAGTTTAAAGAATAATGAGTAATAAGATGACTGTCCTAAAATGCCCACAAACAGAATGTCATGCATTTATGAAATGTGATTCTCCACAAATTAGAGACGTACTTATTTCTAATAAGGGAAATGGTACGTGCATAGAATATAATGGAATAGAGCAGGTCGAAGAGAGAGAGAGAGAGAGAGAGAGAGAGGGGGGGGGGGGGGGAGGAGGGGAGGGATAGGGTAGGGTTGGAGGGGTTGGTGGCAGGATATCGTAAAAGTTTAAATCATATGTTTGAAGTTTCACCACGTTTTTTCACATCTAACTTAGATATTCAACACGGGTCTGCAGGAGAGATTGGTATATTATAAACGATTAATATAGGGCCTACATCTCAATGGATTCTAGTAATTCATAGTTTCCTCACTTCAGAGAGAGAGAGAGAGGGGGGGGGGAGGAGGGGAGGGATAGGGTAGGGTTGGAGGGGTTGGTGGCAGGATATCGTAAAAGTTTAAATCATATGTTTGAAGTTTCACCACGTTTTTTCACATCTAACTTAGATATTCAAACGGGTCTGCAGGAGAGATTGGTATATTATAAACGATTAATATAGGGCCTACATCTCAATGGATTCTAGGAATTCATAGTTTCCTCACTCCACTCTCTCCTTCCCCCTCTCCCTCCTCCCCCTCTCTCTCTCTCTCTCTCTCTCAACTCTCTCTCTCTCTCCCCTTTTACCAATATTTGTTTCACCATATTCGTATTATTATGTATCCATTGAGGGTAGTCATGCTATCAAGCTTTGCTTACTTTGTCAACCCTCCTGTTGGATGGTTTCGATTAGTTACTTTATTCGACATTATATTCTTTTGTAATGTGTAAAATTTGCAATGTTTTGTTTGTTATATATTTGCAAAATGCAAAAGAAAAAGAAAATCAAACAGAATAAATAAATCAAATCAAATCAAATCAAATCACATTATTACTTCATCTTCCTCCCCATCTCTCTTTTTCTCTTTCTCTCTCTCTCTCTCTCTCTCTTTCTTCATCTCCCAGTGTAGGTATGTCATGTATGCATAATGCATGTCAGATTCTGTTGGAATGAAGAGTGAAAACAATTCACCCGGTTTGGGCGTAGGCCCACTTCGTTTTAAAGTTAGGACGAATTGGGACTCAGTAGAAGTTTATATATATATATATATATATATATACATACAAAATTAAACAGAAACGGAATGAAGATTAGAATCCTCAAGCATGGTCTTTATTTCCATAATTTCAATACATGATAATTTACATGAATTACTCAGTGATTGAGTGAAAAATAACATTGGCTAAATATTAAAGTATATTCAACAATTCTTCCAGCTTAGTATTAATTCCTTATTACCTTAAAAACAATCTTAGCAACGACTTGTATTGAAAAAGCAAAGCATGTGGGTAAAAAACAGAACCATTGACAATCCTAAATTGCATATTGCGCATAATCAAAAATAATATTCAGAAGAATATAGGCCTATATGTCCTTAGACACAACTGATATATGTTGGTTTATTTGTATTTCTACGTGGAATATGTGAAATATCAAATTACATATCATTTTCCAAAAAATAATCACATCCTTGCAATATAACATAAAGTGAATCAAATTGTCAACAAGTGTTGCATAAATAATTATTCACATTTTGCCACTCATGTACATTTTCCTTTGAGGCAATAAACCTGTGAATCATCTTGAAATTAAACTGTTTAACTTTATTATTACGAATTTGCTTTAATTTGAATGAAAATACATCCTTCCAAACAAAGTCATCACCTAAATCTAGAAAGGAATTCCACAAATAAATGACAATTGTTTTTTTAAACTTCATCCGTATTAACAAGCGATAGTAATCTTTCACTTTCAAAACAAAAACATTTACTTTATCCCCTGTTTCTATTTCTATAAGATTCGAAATATCACATTCATCTTCAAAAATCATTGACATCACTCAATCTATCTAACAAACATTGCGGAAATGCTTTCTTTAAATTTTAAAATCAAATAGGAGCTGTTGTGCGTTCACTTTTTATTAATTAATGAAGAATCCTTCAAAATACCATTTGTAATCAATAAATGAATTTTCAATAAGACGGCATCTTGCCATTCTCGATAAAACAATATTTTTTTCGTAAAGATAATGTTACTATTTTTTCCAAATAATTTCATTTGGAATGTTTCTTGCTTTAAACATATCAATGAATCTTAGTTCTGACCAAGTACAAAAAAGGTCTACATACAATTCTGGCAAATTATGTTTAGAGCATAATACATTCATATCTTTTATATTACAATTGAACTGTAAACAAAGTGGCAAATCCCCTATTTTATCTGACCAGTATCTAAACATATTTTTCCAATTACAGATATCCATGACAAATGAAGTGAAGATATTTTACTAGCAATATAAATCGTATTCAATCACCATTTTCGATATCATTTATAATTACATAACGTTTAATTTTTCTTCTTCTTGGGAATTCCATAAGAAACAAAACAATAGTTTATTCAATATATGTAAAATGTGTTTTGGTACTGGAACATCAGTTGCGGTATGCACAAATTGTGACGCCGCTAACATTTTAAAAACCATTATTCTACCTTAAAACGTAAGATTTCATAATTTTACACATATTTAATAAATTTCGAATTTTATCTATTCTTACGTTCAAGTTTAAATCTTGTAACAGTTTCCTATTTTCGCCTGCATGTACTCATAAATATTTAACAGGTTGATCCGTATATATAATGTCATTATCATTAAAAAAACCAACTCGGATAGAGCAACCTTAAGATTATAAATGTTGTGTTGAATTAATACAAAAACCTTCAAATCAGAAGATAAAGGATTAAAATAATTAAAAGGAACCTCCGGTACTTGCTTATCTTACCTTATATCAACCAGACAACCACAGCGAAAACCCATTGCATAACAAAATTAGAAAAGCGCTTTATTCTTGCATATCCATTTATGACTCTGAACACCCAAAATTACCCCATTCCAAAGACAATTACGATGATAAAGTGATTCACTTGTGGATTTAAATGGTGTCCTAGGGGATACAGAATGTTTGTTTTCGTTGTGTGCTGTAAAATAGCCATCACGTTGTCAATGCATTATCTATATTAAACATGAACCCACATGATAACAACAATCGTTTACTTTACATGACAACGTTTTACCTAACTTGATTCGGAATTAAAGAAGGATGTATGCCTACGTGCAACATGATAGATAAACGAATTCAGAAATCACTTCGTCGTTCCGTAGCTCATTTTAAGCCATTCGTACTGCGAATTAATCACTTTGGCCTTTCCAACAGATGAAAGGAGAATACCCGCGAACTCTTTTGGAAAGGTTTTCCTGAAACAATCGGTGCACATGTGCTTGGAATCTAATCTACGGAGGTAAGTGATGAGCCACTCGCCCTTTTCGATGACTACCTCCCCCCCAGACGAAGCGCTGCCTGTCGGTCCCTTCGGACCGAAACCCACACCAACATTCTTCGAAATTTTGATGGTTTCTTTTCCCACAGCCTGCTTCATAAATGCATACGTTTGCTGCCCCATGCAGGCTACCAACTCACAGAGGAGTGTCACGCCACATTTCGCACACTTACAGTCCTTTTCTTTGGCGTTTGGGTACCATGTCTCCAGTCCAGGTATTGAGTTTGCGCCACCCATTTTCGTTTCCGCAGGTTACGTGATTAGTTTGATTGTGAAGCAAGGGGTGCCGTTCTCAAAACTTTGCAGCAATGACTGGAAACAGAAATCTGTAAAAAAATATAATGTACTGCTAAAAATATAACGATAAAACGCAAAATATTACCACCCAGACCCATATTTGTTTTGAACAATAACATAATGTTAAACTGGATTATGGAACTCAAGGTTTAATGCAAGTCTGTCCACAGTTGACTGGAAAAATAATCTAAATTCAAGAGAATCACCGTATGGCACAGTCACACGGCCACTTACGGTAGCTGCGGATGCTTACGGATAAAAGTCCGTAAGCATCCGCAAGGATCCGTATCATCCGTAAGCATCCGTATCCATCCGTAATTCAATCCGCAGGATCCGCAGACATACGCAGATCCGCAGCGGAATTTCGAAAATCTCAAAATTTTGCTGCGGATGAAATATACGTAAGCATCCGCAGAATATACGTTATCCATACGTAAAATACGTAAACTCATCCGCAGGATACGTTAGATACGTAACTGATCCGCACACTTTGTCGGGTGTGCGGATGCCTGCGGATACATAGGGGTACGTAAACACTATTACGTAGGAGTTACGTATGTTTAACGTATTTTTGACATATATATTGCGGATCTTACGATAGGACTTGCGGTAATTGCGTATGCTTGCGGATGGGATACGAATATTACGGATGGGATACGGATGTTACGGATTGGATATGTATGTTACGGTTGAGATACGGATAATATGCGGAATTTTTACCTATGTCTTCTTTCATTTCGGCGGATGTCGCCCATGCCAAATGGTCTTCACTTGGGTATGCAACCCTGGATGCTGCCAGCATCCTCATCATTGTCAGTTCTTCAACTGTAGACTTTCACAGGTCACTCAAGATGGAGAGAGAACGCCGCCTTGTGTTGCTGGATTGTTTGATGGCCATCCAACACAATCAGATGCAGATGAAGATCCTGATGGCCAAGATGCAAGCCATCCTTGAAAGGAGAAAAGAGAGGATGTGTTGGGTTCGTCACTGGATCACATTGCGACCACACCAGGGTGCCTATGGTAACCTGATGCACCTGCTACGCAATGAGGATGTTCAGGGCTTCCGCAACTTCACCCGCATCATAAGAGATGTTTTTTACCTCTACGCTTCCTCTTGTCCCTTGCCTTGCCCTTTTTTTCCACGTCCCTTGCCACGGTCATCTTTGGGGGGGGGGGGGGTGGGGGAACCGTCAGCTCTGCCAGGGATGGTCCCTCTTCTTCTACCTTTTGAGCCTCTTCCTCTGCCTGGGGAGGCTGTTGTGGCTGCTCACTCACTGGAGGATTCTTCCTGGTTTTTCTGCTACTTCTTCTGCCAGACATGATGCACACGAAAGTCCAAAAAGATGGAGAAGAAACTGTTGAATAACTGGAACTAGATCTCAGACTTGATGAAATGCGACTGAAGCAAGCTCCGATCCACGTGGGTTTATATGCGGATGGTGCGGACGCCAGAGGAAGCCGACATGCGCAGACACGAGCGTAACTTATCCGTATCGTCCGTAAGTCATCCGTATCGTCCGTAAGTCATCCGTAAGTCGTCAGTAACATGTGTCAGCGGGTTGGCAGCGGATGGGTTCATCCGCAGGTTTTACCCGTAACATCCGTAATTCATACGTAACATTCGTATTACTAATCCGTATCGTCCGCAGAATATAGGTAACTTTTGCTCAAATTTCCGTATTGGGGTTAAAAATTACGCATTTTCATTATCCAAATATACGCAGGCATCCGCAGGTCCGTAACATGGCCGTGTGACTGTAGCATAGACTATAACACTATCGAATTGCGTGTAACCGAAATTAACTCCGAAGCTTGCCTTAAACCAGCTCCTGTTAATTATTTAAATTTTAAAAAAAGTTCACCTCGTCATGTTCACTTATGAAAACATCACCCATAGGCATTCCGGGTTCTTGTTCTTATTTTAAAAAGCAAGAAAGCAAATATATTTGCACAGGCCTACATAATACAGGGTGTCCCCCCAAAAGGAAACCGAAAAAAACGAAAGGATATTGTGACGTGTCCCTTGAGCCGGCCTATTTTTTGTCCGGATGTACTCAGGTTTAACGCCAAAGTGGCGCAAGGGATTTTTGACACACACTTTTTAAGACAATTTTGTTCAGGCAAGCATGAAGGTGTGTAATCAAGATATCCTATCGTTTCTTTTTAATATCCTTCGTTTTCGGGTTTCCAATTTTTGCGTCACCCTGTAAACCAACAGAGCTTACCAACGTTTCAATCCTGAACTCGCCAAATTTCGACGGCAGCTTTCTGAGGAAATAAAGATAAACATGATACAAATGTTAAAACAAACAGCAAAAGATATTTTAAATTCCCAACCGTAACTTCTTTAAGTAACAACATATTACGTCTCTTGTGTGAATGGCTAACTTTCTACTCCCCTCTCATCACCGTGTGTTTTTCCTGTCTGTGACCAATGTATGCACAAAACATGTGGCAACTGACAAGTACAACGAAAATTGGTCAACGAATGCCCAACAAGCTTTTGTTTTATCATGGTCCTGAAAAAGGTTACGCGGTAGCCTTGATTTCACGGGTAATATTCTTGTTCCAAATTTTGATAGTGAAATAATTATAGCACATGTCCGCACGAACACGTACAAAACAGATTGCCCGGAAATGCTTGAAAAAGGAGATTTTCATTTTCACGAAGGGATGGGTAGCTTTACTAATTAATTTTGGCTAATTAACCACTTTTTTATTCAAATTACTGGGTTCACATAAAGTTTAACTTTTAAAGAATTGTGTGAAGATTTCCTTAATGGTAAGTACATGTACGTAGTCAAGCCCGTACAACTTGCTTTTCTTTAAAGGGGGGATTCTTAGGGTTGCCAACTAGCGGCGAATCAGCCTGTGGATAAGCGAGGGGGAGGGGTAGTGAGCATTATAAGATGATGATGTGGATCATAATCAAATGATTGGTTTAGAGCATACACGTGACCTGGCATTTATTTTGCATAACGCGTAATTTGGATAATGACCGGTCATTATCAAAATCATGTTATAAAACATCATTTTATAAAACAAATCATACAAGTAAAACAAATAATACACATCATTTTTTCGGGCATTAATAAAATTGCCCACACTCTGTACCTTCACAACATGTCTTCACCATGGACGTTTTTTTTTATTTTTTTTTAGAGAGAGAATTTGAACAGTAAAGTGTGGTGATCAAGCATGGTAATTAGATATGCAACGTAGTGATATCCCCCAACGCTCGCGCCTACCGGTATACGAAGATATTGATATTTGCAACAACAGTCTAATGTAGGCCTACATAAAGTTGCCATGCCCCGAAGGTTGTAGAACACCTACCCCCTGGACATCCAACCCCGGATAACTACCACTCGGATAACTACCCCCAGACAACCATCCTCTAGGACAACTATCCTAGGGGTTATTTTTCCGGGGGGTAGGCTCCGGGGGGGGGGGGGGGGTGGGAGGTAGTCGTCCTAGATGGTGGTTGCCCTAGGGGGTAGTTGTTCTAGAGGGAACTGACTGGGGGTGGTTATCCGGGGTGGATGTCAATGGGGTAGGTGTCCGGATACGTTTTCATACAGATTCGCAAACATGCAACCATCGCCATCGTTCCCTGACGTCTTGGTCCAAGACTAAGTCAGCAGACACAAACTTAGGTCAATATTGGGCTAATTCCAAGTGGCAAATACATTGGGCCAATTTTAGAGGCTAATAATTGTTAGAAATAGGTCATTATTGTCTCCATATACGTTTTGCCCATTGGCTAAAAAAATATTGGTCCTATTTAGTCAAAAAGCAAGTCAATAAAATTGGCGTATCATTGGCTGAACGGTATAGTTATCGATTTTCATCTAATATTTATATAATATGGGATGGCTTTGAGTGGGATACAAGAATGTATTCAATTGATTCAAATTATCTAATTTCTCATGCAAAACATAATACAATGAATAATTATATTACAAAAATATGCAATGAAACGACAAATATAATAGAAAAAGCACGAGAAAAGAGGAACTAACTAGAAGCAGAGCTTGTTGAAGTGTTAGTTCCTCAGATGCTATGACAATATTTATGTAATATCACACGAAAACAAAACCATAGAATATTATTATTATCTATATCAGTCTCACTAGCGAAATAAACAACATTTGACTCGATAATCAAGCAATATTGTATCGACAGTTGAAGTTCCCGGATGACAGAGCAATAAGACACAAATTATTGATCCGTCATCCGGGTACTGCGTTTATTGTATTAAATACACTGATTATTATTTTACCACTTGGAAGCCTTATATATACAGATAATGAGAGAGATTTTATTATTATGCGCTATATAAAAACGAGACTTTATTATTGTCCGACTTTGCTCATAGATAAGTTGGTACGACCCGATCACTCATTTAAGGCCAACATTTGACAAAACTAGACTAAATGATTTGAACTAAATCTATCTTTAATAGGCCTAGAGACCAAACACCAAACATGTCACGTCACAGTGACCCATAAACAGTCAGTGGGCTTTTTGATAGCCTTATGCACACTCAACACAAAAAGCAGGTTCCCCCGAGTTCTTTTTTTTTTGGTATAACTTAAACAGAATTGTAAGGATTTATGTCACTTAAAGACTGATGAATGCACAGTTTTCCTACGCACAAAATAATTGGTGACAATTGACCGACAGACAGCATTTTCATTACGAAATCATGCATTTTATGAAATTGGGTGCAAGAAAAAAAGTCGACTTCAACGTATACAATAAAATTAAGTAATCCGTTTTATATATTTTTTTAAAAATTTAGATTCCTTTTGAACACGTATGATTAACATTTATTATATTTATTTCATTACATTTTATTATATAGTTTATGTTTAATTGCAACATACTTTTTATTTCTTGTCTTTGCTATTAATTTTGATAAGTAGCTTTGTTACAATTTTCACAGAATTTCACTGTTCTCTTTCAATATATGTTTTGATGTTCGTATCTAATTTTAACCAATTCAACTTTTTAAAACGTTTTACCTGTTTAGTCAATGTAAACAACGGATAATCTGTGGATAATTTTAGAAAACGGATGAATAACTGAAGTAACGGGATTGAAACTTACCAATCAATACTTCTCAGTTTGAATTACAATGTTATGTATCTTCCAAACAAAATAATGAAGTAGGTGAGCTAGTATTCACATGATTGTGTGTCAAAATCAGTGGGCTTCATTTAAGTGGTAATTGAAGTGTGGTTTCAAATGAAGCTGCTCGCAAAGCTGACATACTCGAACTCCTTAAAGCTCGTCTGTACTAGTTTGGCTATGAGGGATTAGACCACCCAGGGTGGTCACTTACAGGTGACTATCTCATCAACTCAGCTCTCAAATAACATGAGAAAAAGAGAATCAAAAGAGATTAGGCATTGTTTTCTATATAGAGGGAGCAAGTAGCTACAAATAGTACAGTGGCTTAAAAGATCTAATAGTCAATGTAGACGGTGTATGCAACCCAGAAGGCTGACCACTTGTGTGTAGTACCTCAGTCACATCTTTGCATATTGGGCTTGCATATATTGCTGCGTATTTATGGCAAGCCGTTTTAACATTTATTCCTTTTACTTGATATCAAGAATTAAATTCTTGATATCAAGAAATGATTTTTTGTTGTAAAGCAATGGTAATTCTTGATATCAAGTTGATTTTTTGATATCAAGAATTCTTTTCTTGATATCAAGAATTCAATTGTTGATATCAAGAAATAGGAATAAACGTTCAAACGGCTTGCCATAAATACGCAGCAATACGCAAGCCAAATACGCAAGGTGTGACTGAGGCATTAAGCAGGGTTCCCTCTAAGCCGAGTTGTATTGGCGAGTTATGGCGAGTTGTGGCGAGTTGCGTCACAGAGGCACTCGCAATAACTTACGACAAGCTCTTCTTGTAACTCGGGATAACTCGCGACAACTCGGCATGGCTCGTCGTAAGTCATTACAACTCTCCACGACTCTCCTCGAAGTCGCGAGCAGTTCCAAATTTTCCAAATTGTCACTGATTCGTTTTAACTCGAGGTGCATTCGCTTACACTCGTAATATACTTGTAACTAGCTGGACCCGCGGAAATCCGCGGGATTCTAGAGGGGGGCGGGGGGGGGGTGTAAATAGATATATAGAGACTGTCTAAATTAAAACCACCAAGAACTTTATTTGCCATTCAGGCCATTACAAAAATATACATGTTTTGCGTCCCCGCCTGCTTCCTATTTGGGGGCCGCCACCTATTTTTTTTTTTTTGAAGAAGAAGAAGAAAAAAAAACATGAAAAGCACTGCTAAAATGTATTTCTGATTTTAAAAAAGAAAAAAAAAAATTGTCGGCCGCCATCTTGAAAAATAGCCCGAATGTCAGGGAAAATGTACCGAGCGGTCATTTTGAAAGAAGAAAAAGAAAAAAAAGGGCCTCCTCCTTCCCATTTTTCGAAAAAACAGGACGCCAAACATGTTTTTTTTTTAATTTGGCCTTACATAAAAAAATAAAAAAAACGATCCAACTGTACCGGTAGTTATTCTTTAAGCCACTGGAACTGCGTAGAGTTCGTAGTGTGGAAAGCTTTTACTGCTTTGTCGATCTGGCGTAGGGTAGCGTACTGTTGCGTAGGCATGTAGCGTAGTGTTGCGTAAAAAGGCGTACTTTCTGCGTCAAGTTTCTACGCCGAAAGTACGCGAAAAAAATTAAACATGTTGAATTGTTTTCGTTCATCTTGCGTACCCCTTTCCGTCCCTCAGCATATAGTAACGTAGGCCAGCGTAGTTGGTACGCAACACTACGCAACTCTACGTATTGACCCCACGCCAATTAGTGACTCGCAAGTGTCACAAATAAAGTATTACAAATATGCTCATCTGACCCTAATTAAACGCCTAAACCCCCCGAGCTTTCGGGGGTTTATGGCCCCTTGAAACCCGTGGACCCCACGCCTATATTATATATACACTCAACCCGCTGCGATCTGATCTCTCCCCCCCCCCCCAACTTTGAAGAATGTAACCCCCGAGCTCTTGGGGGTTTATGGCCCCTTGAAACCCGTGGACCCCACCCCTATATTATATATACACTCAACTCAGGACCCGCGGAAATCCGAGGGATTCTAGAGGGGGGCGCAGGCAAAAAATTAAGTTTTTCATTTCGGAGGCTCCATTTCAAATTTTTGGGAAATTTTCGGGGGCTACTTTTTCAACTTTCGGGGGCTCTTTTGTCTGGGGCTACTTTTTCATTAATTCATAAAAGGATAGGCCTACACTTTGTTGAGATTTGTTTAGTAGGCTAAGGTTTCAGGCTTCCTACTTCATAATTGCCTATTTAAAAAAAAAAAAAAAAAAAATTCTAGTTCAATAACTAAGTTTTCATGCATTGATTTGATGCAAGAACTGTAACATAATGAACCTAGATTGTGATTATTTCTGACCATGAATTTCGATAATCATTTTTCAAAGTAAAATTTTCACAAGAAAATCAGACAGTCGTTTAAAAACGTAGACATTAGTAATATTTTTACTAATTCTAAGCTCAGGTTTCGTAAATCTATTCACGAAACTATATTGAAATCGCGGCAATAATGATGCAAACCAACAGATAACAATTTCAAAGTGTCAAATGAGTTGAGATGAGCTTGCAGGAAGCTCAACACCGGCGCCGCAGGCGTCGGACGCCTGCGGGGCGCGGTCCCGGTGTTGGAGCTTCCTGCAAGCTCATCTCAACTCACACACACTGCACTGCGTGTTGATTGAAGGCAGCTTGCGACTGAACTGTCAGTCCAATGGTTTTCTTGTGAAAACTTTCCTTTAGAAAATGATAATCAAAATTTTGTATACATGGCAGTAATAATCACAAAATAAGCTTTGATTCCATACCTCCATTCACGAAAACTATATAAAAATCGCGGCAATAATGATGGAAATAGGTCTCTAAGTTAGGACGTGGACGGGAAGCTTCGTGTGTATCTCTGTGGCTTGTGCAGCGCTTAAGCACATCCTATAGCACATCCTATAGCAAGACGCTTTACTCTCGGTGATCCCGCCCTTTGCATAGAGCATTTAATACGCAACATAATGTGAGTGGTTTGTCATTTGTTGTGTGTCTCTTTGAGAACTGCAAAGAAATGAGTGTGATCGACGGCGCGGTCTATATAGAGAATATCATATAGGAAGATACCTAACACGGGGTAAGTCATACCCATTCAGCGTGCATTTAATACGCAACTTACTTGAGTGGATAGTCATCGGTCGTGTGTCTACGGATGTTATGTTGAATATCCATGAAGTTTCTCTGTCGTCACGCATATCATGCATTATGCATATCGCGTCTGTTTTCGCCCTGGACGTCGACACGGAGGAGGACCTCGGGCGGAGTATAGCCAATTCGACAGAGTTGACTCTCCCGCGGACGACGGCACCGGTCACCGGTACCCCGAGGGGAGGGTTCAGGAGGAGATAGCTGCACCAACTTGGGTCGGCGATCTCATTAAAAAACAATAGAATACAAAGGCCGGCGGAGACGTCGCGCCCCCCCCCCCCGCGGAGCCTTAGCGTATTACTTATAGTGACTAGCTGTTTGCGCCCGTTAAACGGGCGCTCTTTGCTGTGGCAGCCATTTTGCATTGGTCCGCGGCATCAAACTTTTCAGCCTTTAGCTTCCGTAAAGATTGACATATATAACAATTCTATTTACAATTGTATTTATAATTGATTTCATCATGAAATAAGCTAATAAATATCAAATTAAGACTTGACTGATTTAAATTTAAAATATTATATTTTATTTAAAAATAAGCTAATAAATATCAAATAAAGACTTGACTGATTTAAATTTAAAATAGACCTATTATATTTTAATTAAAAATATTGATTGATATTCATAAATTTCTGTGTTTGCGTGGCGAGCTTCTTTTCGGTCATTTTCTTCGCGTACGCAAGAAATACAGCTCCGTTATTCATGAATGAGGTATCAAGTTGACCGGGATCATTGTCCGAATACCTGTAAGAAACGTCAATGAAATATATCAACCGGTTCAATTTAAAAAAATAAAAATTCACTTCAGCTCAGAAAATACAGCATCTGCTGCAATTACGGCCGGTTTTAAGCCCCAGAGTTCTGGAGAAGAAAAGGGCTAGAGATAGCTATGATTACTGATTAATTTTTTCCATTAAACATCACATCCTATTTCTACTACATCACATATATATATATATAAGGTCTATGCCTAGAATCTAGACGATTTTTATAACGCTGTTTGACCATGAATGACGCTCCGTAATACCCGTTTTAATGCATTGATTTGATGAAGGAACTGTATCATAGTAAAAGTATTCTATCCAGCTATAGACAATGCCAATGGCTATGTTTTTAAACGACCGTCTGATTTTCTTGTGAAAACTTTACTTTGAAAAATGATTATCGAAATTTAGCATACAACTATACATGGACAGAATAATCACAATCTAAGCTCAGGTTTCATACCTCTATAGTCACGAAACTATATTGAAATATAGGGGCAATAAGAGCAATTTAAAAAATGTTGTCGAGTCTACTCTATAATAGCTCAGCTCAGCTCACCTCACCTCACACACAGTCACAGTTCCGGCAGTGCTCGGAAGCAGTGGCGCACTGCACTGCCCGTGCCTCATGGCAGCTAGCTTGCAACTGAACTGTCAGTTACGATGAATTTCTTGTGAAAACTTTACTTTGAAGAATGATTTTCAATATTCAGTAAACATGAACAGGATAATACCAAAGTAACCCTGCTTGCATACCTCTATTCACGTAAACTATATATAAATCACGGCAATCATCATAAAATCAAAGACGAAGCGACTGAGCTGTGCGTGTGACGGTGAGCGTAGAATCATCGCATACATTATACACGTACGTTCGTACACGCAGCAGGTCCGGCTGGCCTACAAAAGCATATCATATAAAAAGACGCATAACACGGGTAAGCCCAACCCGTGAGAGCGTGCATTTCTTACATCCCCTCACCCGGGTGAGTCATCTGTTAATGTGTATTTCTCTTACATGCTACAAAGCGTATCCTATAGCAAGAGGCCTAAACTCGGGGTAAGCCACAACCGTTACTACGTGATGTGCTACATCCATTGACAGAGTAGATTCTCGTCCGCTGTGTGTCTCTTTGTTGATTGCACAGAGGGCGGATGCACGCCTTGCCGACTCGCTCTCGCGGGTTCGTCGCCTCCTTGCAATCCGCGACGCCCGCCGTGCCCTCGTCCGCCCGTCCTCCCCGGGACCCCGAAACCGCCTTTATCGACGTCGACGGCGACCGCGACCGAAGTTCGAACGGGGACGTGGCCAAATGGGTAGATTAAAACGCCGTCCGTCCGCGGGACCGCCCGGCGGCGACCGGGGGCGGGCGGGAGGGGAGATTTGGGCGCTGTAAAATGGACCCCAGATACCCCCCTCGACGCCTTAGAGTATTATTATATAGATGACAAGCTCGCGCTGCACTCTTCGTACCAACTCGCCACCTTCAAACCCTCCATTAATATTACTCTTGTCTCCTTCCTGAACATCTCTTTTTCGGCGGCTCCTCCTTGACAACAGGGTCGCCCCGATTGTGCAGAAGATCAAGGCCTGTTCTTCCTCCAGCAGAGCAAATATGCTTGTGGCATCCATCTTTATTTTGGAGAGCGCCAAAATTATGCATATTGATAACTCGTTGGTAGATCGGTAAACGTCGTACACAGGTCATCGCAACTCATACCGAGCTCGCGTGACTCGTATCGCGCTCGGTTCACTCGTACATCCATCGTAGGAAACTCGATGTTGCGTCGTAGATCAGTCATGCAAATATCATACAAATTAGTAAATTTCAAGCGAGTTCAAACTCGTGCCAGCTTGCCACGACTCGAGGCTCCAAATCGACTTAGTGGGAAACTTGCTTAATTATGCTGAATGTATTAAACGCTATTGATGCTATCTTACGGGAGTGATCTGAGGAGTTTTAACACCAACCACCATGAAAAGAAGTAGGCAAGCAAGCAACTCATTTTTGCATAGAGCTCTTTGATACCAGGGAGAACCACATTTTCTCCCTTGAGCTTATGGAGTACTCATCGGAATACTATCTCATTATTTCACCACAGGAAATAATTTCGTTTGGAGAATACCTTGCTTTGGAATATATTCTGAGAAATATTGATTGAGTAGGTTTCTAGAGGTCATTTGATTTCTCCAGTTGTTTGTCCATTCTCTTTAGGATTGTACATTATTAATGTGTGTGTTTGTGTGTGCAAAGGCCAGAAATTCAAAAACGAAAGAAGAATTATCATAAAACGTAAATTAAATTGGGTAAGACCAGATATGAACATTATCTTCAACAAAGGGATATCCACTGATTTTTTTTCTTTTATATTGCGAATTTAAACACAAACAACGAAAGGTTTAAAATTTAAATTGGGATGAAATATAGACAATAAATAAAACAAAGATTGAATAAAAATGATAATAAAAACAAATAAAAATTAAAAATTAAATTAAAAAAATATGAAATACTGTAAAAATTGTAAAAATTATAAATATGATCAACACTGTACAATAAATTTTAAAAAAATCAAAGCGGCAAATCTAAACAAATCCGAAGAAAACACTATGCGAAAAACCCCTGATTAACCAAAATATTAGAAGGGAACGTAAACATAGTAGGCTACTTATTAAATCATGTGCATGTCAAATATTGCAGTGTGGTACTGGTTCGCAATATTAACGCTTTTCAATTTTACCTCATTTTAGCAGTACAATATCGTAAATCTACAAATATCTTAACGAATCTACAGTAATATTTGGATGTGTTACAAATCTACAGTTTTCTGTAAATTCGTAACCATAATCTACACTTCATTCAATAGTGTGACGTCACAGAACTAGTTAAACACCAACTAAACGTTTCATGATCTTTCGATGTTCAACTGGTTGGTTTGAATTTACAAAACACCAGGAGCGTAGCCAGAGTTTGATGTTTGGGGGGGGGGCACATACATGTAATCGATCGAGGTCAAAAAAAGGGGTCTACAAAATTTCAACCGATCGTGGAAATTTTAGGGGGGGCACGTGCCCCCCCCCCCCCCCCCCCCGTGGCTACGCGCCTGCAAAACACTATTAAACATACTATAAAACACTACAGGTTTTTAATATTATGTTCGTGTCCTAAATGCTCTTTCGTAAAATGTTTGCAGATGCTGTCAAAATTAGATTTCGCTTTGAAATATTATGAACGTTTGTGCATACTTGCATGTACATGGCGAGAATCAGACCGTTCAGCTTACCTTTAATTGAAGTACTGGAACGGCAAGTCACAAGGTTGTGTTGAACATAGGCGATTACCTTCGAATCATGCAAATTGCCACAACTTCTGACCTTTACCTCCAAGAAATTAACAGTTACGTGACTTAGTTTGATGGAAATCTCCTCAAACTACTCAGGAAAACGAACATGTAAATCCTCTGATATGGAAGGTCCCAACCGGCAAACTGCACAGTGCCAATGTAATAGCCTAATATCTGCTGTCGTGGATATTTTTTCTTCATATTAACCTTTAAAAGCACTTCACATTATCACGGTTTTTGGCCAAGTAAAGAGTATGGCTTGAATCTAAGGAATAACCTTTGTACCCAATCCATATTAAAATTCAATCGCAAAGCTGCCAGATGTTTTTTTTAAATAAATAAACCAGATATTAACCAGATATTAATAGTACATGTTTGGGATGTGCTGTTTTTTCTTGTATAAAAACTATGTGCTATAGATATGAGATATTTTTAAAAATAATTTGTCCAATTAAAATACTATTTTAACCAAATGAAAAAAATAAAGTTAAACCTTTGAAAGCACTTCCATGTTTGAGTCCCTCCCCTCTCCCATCTAATCTATGAAATAGCCACTTGAACTCAAAGCGTTTATGATATTCGTCAGTATTTGCACGTGTGAGCGTTATCACTGTTTTTGGCCAAGTAAAGAGTATGGC